GAAGAATATTAGATGGACAAATGAGAGGAACCGTGATGATGGAAGCCGTAACATTTATTCATTTATGTCGTGAGCTTGCATCTCATCCGACTAAAATTAAATCAAGCAACCAGAGGAAGTTGAAAAGAATTAGATATAGGTATGTGGATGTATTGAATGAATTTTGGTTGCAATATGGGGATTTGTGTGTACTTTGAAGGATATTTTGAGAAATCAAAAGTTTTGACACTCATACCCTCTTTATTTATAATAACTAGTATTGTGCATGTGTGTTGCATGTGTATTTAATTTTACGTTTAATTTTTGTGATGATACTTTTTGTGTGTGTGAACTATCCTTTGAAATGATCATCATGAGTAATTTCAGAAAACTCAAATACAAAAAAGCACCAATCATTTGATGTTTGTTAAGAAAATTTTTAGGGATGACAAGTTTAATGGATAATCATGATGCTCATTTAAAGATATATAATCATGTTGCCCGTGGACAGTATGAAAGTAATTTTTATATCAAAATAAAAATAAATAAGCTTTTATGTGTGTTGCATGTGAATTGGAAGTCTAATACATTAAACTTATTATCACAAGTAATGTCTCTTAGCACATGTTTAAATAAGTATATAATCACATGTTTAAATAAGTTAATAATCAGCAAAGATTACTACATCCACCATCAAAATCTAAGCTTTTATGTGTGTTGCATGTGAATTGGAAGGCACTGGAAGTCTAATACATTAAACTTATTATCGCAATTAATGTCTATTAGCACATGTTTAAATAACTAACCTACATACTATTCACTTAACTTATGTATGTAATCAGCAAAGTTTACTCCATCCACCATCAAAATTTACCCGAACAACAACAATAATATCTCATTATATCATTTCATTCATTTTTTTCATCTATATTTATTTTACTGGTTAGTTTTTTAATTACTCATTATTCATGAAGGATACGATGGATTAAATATTAAAATTTTCAAACTCAATCAAGTGCAAATTTTTGACTAAATTTAGTTGTCAAAATTCACTTAAAAATAATGAGAAAAAATATTTATTATGGAGAATGTGCTATATATATAGTTTACATGACCCAAAAATAAGGAAAAATAAAGTTGTATCATATATATTTCAACGTTTTCTTTGTTTAGAATATTAATTTATAACATACCAATCATTAAATATCACACACTATGTTAAAATTTTACAAAATGGATTTTCAAGTAATATATAGTTAGTGGAACGCTTGCAATCTCTTATTAAGAAAATGAGTTAATAATGTAAATGAATTTGTAAGTCAAGTGTTTTTAATCCCATCATTCCTACATTAGAATTTTAGGATACATAAAAAAGGCATTTGACATATATCTACATTGCACACATTCAACCAAGTATATGCATTCCATACAGATATTCTTATATATATAATTTTCACATTGTTGTCAATAAATAGTTATTTACTGCTTTCATGTTACTTGACATTAAGAACTATTATGTGAATTTACTTTGTACCCGATAAACTCCAAATTACACCACAAACTTCCATAAATTACACATAATAGAAAAGCAATTTCTACAAATTTATGAACCCCAAGTAAATAATATTTCTCAAAATAAAAAAAATATTATAACTCCTAATTACACCACAAACATCCATTAATCACATGCACATTAAAAAAGTAACATCTACAAATTTATGAACCTAGCTAAGTAAATAAAATTTCTCGAAATAAAGAAATGGAACTCCACTCCATTTATCCAAAGGAAGTTAAAAACACAATCAATACTCCTTGCTCCTTAACAATAACATGTGCCTCTGGATTAAAAATAAATAATTTGATACTAAGCTCTGAAAGAGTAAAATATCAATGAAATACATCGAGAAATTTATCATGACATTCAATCCGGGGTGTCTTGGAGCAATTAGAGGTCTTGGAGGTGGACTCCGCCTTTTGCTATTTTTAAATCTAGAAACCATTAGCCACATAAGAATAAAAAATTGGTAATACTATTTATATAAGTGTTAATGTATCTAGAAACTCGTCTAGAGATAAAAATATGGATAAAAATAAAATATGAACTATGACAAATGTAATCACGAAGCTCCCAACTTAAAATATTAGTAGTAAAAGAAAATTGGATATTTATTTAACATCAAATAAACAAACGTAATTGGATACTAATGGTCACTCATTAAAAAAATTTATATAACTTACAAAAAACATTGAAAATTGGATAATGAACATCAATCTCTCCTTCTCTCCCTCAACCTTCACGAGTGCATCTTAATAGAAAATCATGTAGTTACCTTTTTTACTATCTACATGTTTTTACGTAACCATCTAACACTATTTTTGAAAGCTATAAGTAAATTATAATAATAGTATAAACTATGATTACGTTTTTACTAACCTGTGATGATTGTCTTTTCTTCCCTTCCTCAACCTTTTTCTCCAGTTTGATTTTCTATTTGATGCGGGATATGTTTGACTGAGGAAATTAGGTCAATTTATAGGAATCACATGACCTTTAAATTCCAAACTAAAATTTTTATTTGTAATCATGCACCATTGATAGGTGTAAATGAGTGTAACAGTAGTGGAAATAATTTTCAATTTTCAAAATAATAAATGTATGTCCTTAATTTTTTATAAGTGAAGAATGAAAAGGCTAGAGACAATTTGTACCTTTGTCCTAATGATGACATTAATATTGGATTAGTGGAGGGGTTACAAAAATTAGAAGTTAATATTAATGGACAATTAATAGGAGAGTTATGACATTATTAGAATGTATGCATATATATGTATGTGTCTATATGTATATGGATGCATGTGTTTTATGTATGTATGTATGTGGTTTGAAGGGCATTTTTGAAAGGAATGTTTTAACATGCCAATCCACTTTTATAATAGTATTAGATTAGATTAGATTAGATTAGATAAGTAGTATAGATATAGATTTACTAGGGGCAATAAGCATTTTAATGGAAAATTGTGTTATGTATTATGGGGCTGATTAATTTATTCTACTAATTCTGGTGTTAAAAGTGTACAAAATTTCATGTGATTTAGTTTCATAAAAGAGTTTTAAGTAGATGATTAAGATTATTTTTGTGATTGAAATCGACTGGACTGTATAGTTTTTCATGATTTGATTATTTGTTAATTAATTAATTAGTCAATAACAATTAACTAAGCATTCTCAATCCATCAATCCCAATCAAGTATAAATAAAGTTAATCAAACAGGGAACTACATAATCATAAGTCAATTAAGGATGTAAAAGAGTTGGAAAAGGGTATGTTTAAGCAAAACAGAAGGAGGCTTGGGAATTAAGGACATAAACACATTTAATTACACACTCTTATCAAAATGGCTATGGAAATGTTTAGATAGAGAGTCTTTGTAGGCTCTTTTCTTCATAAACTATATATAGCAGAGTTTCAACTCTTTAGTCTTTACGTCCAAATACTTTATACTCAACTTTCTGGAATGATATTATGGCTGTTAAAGAGAACTTCCTTCATCATATTATCTGGTCTCTTGGATCCAGGGATAAAATTAGATTTTGGGAGGACAAATAGATAGGTAGTAATTCTTTAGCAAGTCTTTATCCATCCCTTCATAATCTCTCATATTCTTCTACTTCATCTATTAGAAGCCAAGGTATCTTGCAGAATAATCATTGGCAATAGCGACCTATGTTGATAAGACGTTTATCACCTACCTCTCAAGCTGACAGAGTAGAGCTCAGGCAATTGTTAAGTAAGTACAAAATTTTCAACCAGCCTGATAAACCAAAATGGTCTCTTACAACAAATGAGGTTTTCTCAGTTAACTCTTTTTACAAATTTCTAATTTCGAGAGGAATCGGATCTTCAGTGTACAATTTAACTTGGAATCAAATCCTGCCTAATAAGGAGAATCTTCTGAAAAAATGTTGGCAAGGTGATTCTATGTGCCCTTTTTGTTCTCTGCAATTGGAAACTAGAGACCATCTCTTCTTCTCTTGCCCATTATCGAAGCAAGTTTGGGAACATTTCATAAAGTTCTTTTCACTATTCCAATGGCATGCTACTCTTGATGAACTTATTCATATCTTGGAGACATTACAAAGTACCAAAGGATATATATGGCGTACCATCTTATCTTCAGTATGTTAGAGTATTTGGATTGCAAGGAATAAATATCTTTTTAATCATGCTAATTTCAATTATTATTCTATCATTAATACTGCAATCTCTAATTTATATGGCTGGGCATGTTAAAAAACTGAAACAAAAGCTCAAGAAGTCTCATCAATGCTGGAAAACAATCCTCTTCCCAGGAGCAATGCATGATGATGTATCTGACAGTTTGTTGAAGGAGCTTTTTGGAGGGTTCTTACTCTTGTATATATTCTTTTGTTAGCTTTCGAACTTTTTGTTTCATTATTAGACATCAGTATCTTAGTTTCTTATAACTACATGTATGGCTGACTTTGGTTCTTCCTTATATCTATGTCAACGGCGAATAACGACAAGACCCTCTTTTCACCTTCATGAATCTCTAGAAGAAGAAGGTCATACATCACTAGTCACAAGAAACTAAATTTATTGTTATCTAACATTAGGATACACTTCGTATTCAAAACCTATGTATTACTTACTTTTATCTTTAATTGAACAGGGTATATCCATTGTTTTTTCTATCAAAAAACAAAAATGAATAAATAATAATAATAATAATAATAATCATAAGTCAATTCATTTACCTTGGTTATTAGGCAATACGGATCCGGGTTAAACTCTTATTTGAACCCGTTACCCAACAGAGTCCGCTTTTATTAGGGCAAAATCAAATCATCGCCTCCCCTTGCTCCGCTCAAAAATCGATATCCACCCTCAACACTCAAAACCCCCGAGTCATCGCTTTTCAAAAAAAAAAAAAAAAAAAAAAAAAAAAACCGAGTCGTCGTCATTCGATCTCTCGTCTATCGAAGTTATTGCTGTTGATGGCGCCATCTCGTCGTCAATACTCATCGGAATCAAGCTCCGACGAGGACCAGCGGCGGCGGCGGCGGAGCGAGAAGAAGAAGAGTTATAGCTCCTCGGAGAGGTCGTCAGATTCAGCGAGCGCATCGTGAAAGGGACTGCAGATCCAAGGGAGACGGCCACCGCCGCCGACACGACAGCGACGACGATGAGGGGCAGAGGAAACCGGCGCCTAGGGTTTCGTCGAAGGAGGAAATAAAAGGCCGAGAGAAGAAAAGTTACAGCGACGACGATGAGGGGGAGAGGAAACCAGCGCCTAGGGTTTCGTCGAAGGAGGAAATAAAAGGCCGAGAGAAGAAGAGTTACAGATCTGACAGCGATGAGGTGGAGAGGAGGAGGAGGGTTGATGATAGGAGAGATCGAGAGCGAGAGAAGAGACTCCATGAGGAGAAGAATCGAAGAGGGAGGTCGAGGAACGACGAGGGAGTTAGAGGAGAAAGTGCTCGACGAAATTCTGGTGATGTAATTGAGGAGCCGAAGAAGAGCAGGAGGGAGAGAGTTTATAGCTCCTCTGAGGAATCATCGGATTCTGAGAGTGATCGAGAAAGGGCTCGCAGATCAAAGGATGATGGTCGCCGCGCCGCCGCCGGCATGGCAGCGACGCCGATGATGCAGAGAGGAGACCAGCTCCTAGGGTTTCGTCCAGGGAAGAAAAGATAAGCCGAGATGATAGTGTTAGGAAGAAGAGTGAGGAGAGTCAAAGAGGGAAGTATGAGAAGGATAAGGAAGTTAGAAGAGAAGGTGATCGACGAAATCCTGATGAGCGAATTGAAGAGCAAAAGAGAAGGCGAGAGAGGTCTCAGAATGTTGACGATGACAAAACTGGACGTGCTCGACGAAATGCTGATGAGATAGTTGATGCCAAGAAAGATCAGGACTTTGATAAAAGAGAAGAGGACGATAGTATGGAAGAAGGTGAGCTTGTGGATAAGAGAGACAATCGCTTAAAAAAGGGGGAAAGAGAGCAGAAAGATGAAAGCCCTCGAAGGCTAGAGAGGTATCGAGATGAGAGAAGGCATAGGGATGAAGAAGATGAGAGGAGAGATGGGCGAGCTAGGAAAAGAGAAAGAGAGAGCAGTCCTCGAAGGAGAGACAGGAACAGAGATGATGACCACCATCATCGGCAAAAAGAGAAGAGCAGAGAGGAAGCCAAAGAAGAGAGTAAGGAGGAAAAGCCTGTTGCAGTTCAGCAGATGCCAGATGCAGGTGAAATCAAGACGGGTGGAATCTACATCCCACCACATAGACTGGCTCAGATGATGAAGGATGTAGAAGATAAGAGCAGTGAACAATACCAGAGATTGAGTTGGGATGCTCTAAGGAAGAGTATTAATGGGCTGGTGAACAAAGTGAATGCTACTAATATTAAGAATATAATTCCAGAGCTCTTCTCAGAGAACCTCATTCGAGGGAGGGGTTTGTTCTGTCGCTCATGTATGAAGTCGCAGATGGCATCTCCTGGGTTTACTGATGTATTTGCAGCTTTGGTTGCGGTGGTTAATACCAAGTTTCCTGATGTGGGTAAGCTTCTATTGAAGAGGATTGTGATACAGCTTAGGAGGGCTTATAAAAGGAATGACAAGCCTCAGCTACTTGCTACAACTAAGTTTATAGCTCATCTTGTGAATCAGCAAGTAGCTCATGAGATCATTGCTTTGGAACTGCTGACTTTGCTATTGGAGAAACCCACCGATGATAGTGTTGAGGTAAAGTTTGGCATTTCCTTTTATGTGCAATGTTCAGGTTTCTATTCTGTATTTAAAGTTTTTGCTCTTTTGCAGGTAGCTGTTGGGTTTGTGAAAGAATGTGGCGCATTGCTTCAAGACTTTTCACCTCAAGGAGTCCATGGTGAGTTAATTCGATCTTCGCTTTCTAAATGTCAAACCTCTGATAGCTTATGCATATATATTGCTATTCATGACGGATAACTTGTGCTCTTGTGTATGGCTAATTACGCATTTGGAACTAGCACAATAAATTTTACATGGTAATTGTCCCATTATTTCTACAGTTCTACTAAGTATGTATATTTGCTTGTTATTTGTGAGAGTCAGAAGTTTTATGACTTGCATGTCCTCTTGTAAGGGGTATTTTTCACATGGTGCTCATTGTTTTTGTGGAACTTGTGAAACCAAGTATGTTACTGCTGACCCATATGCTAAAAAAGTGGAAGGAAGAATGCTTCTTTGTTTCTGTGAATGTTATTGATTATTTTCTGTTCCCTCTAGAACTAAAACTAAAAGTGAATAAACCAAACTTGCAGCGAAGCATAAGATAATTGTTTCTAAAAGGAAGAGCTAACTCATCCTACGATTTATCCTGTAGTTCATCTTTAACTTTTAACTTTCAAAAAAGATAGTGCATAATTGTTATAAACAGTGGCAAATAGGGGTGTTAGCGGCCCCATCCGCAATGGTATTGCCCAATAGCGGTGATATTACGGAATATGCAATTTTTGCTCTCAAAAGTGGCTAATAGCGCGCCATAGTGGTGAATAGCGGGCGATTGTGGATAAAATCTGCTTTCTGACTGCTATTTAAAAGTGGTTTCATGTTTATTTTTTAATTAAACACAACAAGCATTCGCAAGGCCAATGTTTTAAGTCATTATCAGTCGCAATTTTTCTCTTTTGAGTCTCCTCTTCGCGATCCAACTCTAAAGAAACCCTAGCTCCTAAAAAGGTCATTGTCTCCCACTTCATCCCGCCGCCTTTCGTGACTTTCAGCATCTCCTGCGGCCTCCCACAACTTCACTTCCCTTAGCACCTCCTCTTACCACCACAACACCTCTCATCGCCTCTCGTCGTAAGCTCCACCTATTGCAGTCCTCTCACCGCTCACCTCATCTTCTCGAAGACGACGACTCTTCGACTCTTCCAGTCTATTTCATGCTTAGGATCTCTTTACATCATCAAATTTGCATTTTTAGATTTTCTAAATTTTTTTAAAAATATTTGTACATATTTAATTAGACTGTTTTTTGAGATTTTCTATTTTTTTAAATATTTGTACATATTTAAATTAGATCGTTTTTTGACTTTGCGCTTTTGATTGCTATTTTGATGCAATATCCCCAAATAATCGTAGCGCTTGATAACTATTATAAATAGCGGCAAATAGTGTCGTAATAGCGACGCTAATAGTGTTAGCGACTCATTCTGCAATACTATTGCCCAATAGTGGTAATATATTGCAGCATATGCGATTTTTGCTCGCAAAAGTAGCCAATAGCGTGCCGTAGCGGTGAATAGTAGACAATTGTAGATAAACTTCACTTCTTGACCGCTATTTAAAAGCGGTTTTGGGTTTATTTTTTAATTAAACTCGACAAGCATATATAAGACCGATGTTTTAAGTGATTAACAACGGCAGTTTTTTCCTCTTGAGTCTCTTTGCGATCCAACTGTAAAAAAACCCTAGCCCCAAAAAAGGTCGCTACTTCCCACCGCATCTCGCCACCTCCCATGACTTTCAACACCTTTTTGCCACTTCTCTCCACCTCCTCCGGCGTTCGACACCTCCCTTACTAGCTCCTCTCACCTCTTGTCGTGAGCTTCTTCTATTACAATCCTCTCACCACTCAGCTCATCTTGTTAGAGACGACGACTATTCGACTGCTCTAGTCCTCTTCGATATATGTGATAGTTACATGTCTATTACATGCTTAGGATATCTTTACATCATCAAATTTACATTTTTAGATTTTCTAAAATTTTCTTTAATTTTTTTAATATTAGTATATATTTAATTAGATCGCTTTTTGACATTACGCTTCTTACCGCTATTTTGTCGCAATAGCCCCAAATAGCATTAGCGGTGCATCACCATTACACGATACTATCCGCTATCAATAACATGCAGTAGCGACGCTAATAGCGTAAACAGCCCAACCCCTTCTACAACGATATCGCCCAGTAGCGGTAAGATACTGTGGAATTTGCGATTTTCGCTTGCAAAAGTGGCCAATAGCACGCCATAGTGGTGAATAGCGGGCATTACGGATAAAATCCACTCTTTGACCGTTATTTAAAAGTAGTTTCATGTTTATTTTTTTAATTAAACCCAACAAGTATCTGCAAGACCGATGTTTTAAGTCATTACCAATCGCGGTTTCTTTTCCCTCTCTTGAGTCTCCCCTTCGAGATCCAACTCTAAAAAAACCCTAGCCGCCAAAATGATCGTTGCCTTCCACCGTAGCCTACCGTGACTTTCAACATCTTACTGCCACCTCCCACCACCTCCGACACCTCCCTCAGCATATCCTCTCACCTCCACAGCACTTCCTCTCTCCGCTTACCTCATCTTCTCGAAGATTACGACTCTTCAAATAGCCGTGTCTCACTACTATGCGACGCTATCTGCAATCGATAATCTTGTCAAGTGTATACCAATTTACCAACACAAGCATTTTTAATGTAGACTCTCTCATTCTTCTTTGAAGGCAGGTATCCATCAAATAAAAGATGAACTAGCATATTATAAATTTAGAACTTTAATGCTTCACTTTATGCCATTCAGTTCCAAATGATTAATTGGCAACTTCCGCCGTCTCTTGTTCAGTCAACCCCTTTTCCACTGATGTGGACAATCTCATCTGCTTTTTTTTTCATCTGTTGTTTTTATTTTCATTCGTAAGGGCGATGATTCTCCTTCCTTAGATTGATCTTGCTTTATTTATTGGCCTATTAATCGAATCCATTCAGCAATTGGTCTTTCTTATGAACTATTGTTATTTAGTCTATTTTTGTGAGGTTTAACATATTTGGTGGAAGGTTTGACATATTTATTAGACAAACATGATGTGGACTACACACAATAACTCAAGCAAAGTTTTCTCTAACGTAGAGGAAATCATGTATGCCTATAAGTGGAATCAGGGACTAGGGAGCATCTCTAATGAATCCAAAGAAGTTATTCGGGGTTGGTTTCATAAAGATTCATTAGAACGACGGAACAGTCTTGAATTAAGGTTTTTCATTTCTTTGATCTCTTTTCCTTTTTGTTTCTTTCTATATTTTCTTTTTCAGTTTTGTGTGTTTGTGGTTGCAACCTCTGGCTTCTTTGACGGAAATCAGATAGGTGAGAAATGTAATCTGAAGGAGCTGATATGTTGCTGGTTGCTGCTTCAAACAATGCAAAATGTGAGGATTAATCAAATTTTACTTGCAATGAACGAACATAAGAACAATCGGACCTGATGTTAATTCTTGGACAGCATAGCATGCATCTTAACATGGATCTGTGTCTTGATTTTTCAACAATGGAGTGGTGTGGTTTGAAAGCCAATGTGTTGTATATTGTTGTTCTTGAACTCTGATGTTTATGTACGGCACAAATTTGTGGTGTTATATATTTTGGCATCTTATATTTCCTTGTCTACTTTCCTTTTAGTACAATAATATCTGGTTTTTCTGGCTTTACGGGAAATTACTGTCCTTTGTAAACATTTGAGCTAAATTGAATTTTATTCAGTTAAAACATGCCAGGATAAGTTTTTCTTTTGGGAAAAATTTATAGGGACTAAAAATTTTCTGTATGCTTTAAGTTAATTGCTGTCTACCTGAGTGTACAGTAACTTTTTTGAAGGTTTATATTTTGGGTGCAAATATTTACTTAAGCAATTTTCATTAATCTCATGCTAACAAATTTTCTATCTTTTACTGGTTCAGGTATCTTTGAGCGCTTTCGTAGTATCCTTCATGAAGGGGAAATTGATAAGCGTGTTCAGTTCTTGATTGAAGGTCTGTTTGCAACAAGAAAAGCCAAATTTCAGGTATGGTTGTATGCGTGTTTTGTCAACCGAGATATATGCATGTACTCTTAAGATTTAGTGCACAGAAATAACATCACTCTATTTGTTCTTAATTTTACAGGGATTCCCTGCTATCCGGCCAGAACTGGACCTAGTGGAGCAAGAGGATCAGTTTACACATGAAGTATCTCTTGAAGATGAGATAGATTGGGAGACAAATCTAGGTATTTAATTAGTTATATTTGTTTTTCTTCCTTATTTATTTATTAATATTTTTGTTATATGATCTCATCGTTCCTAAGCTTTGCATTCTTCTTTTCATTAAACAGATGTTTTTAAGCCCAATCCACAATTTTTGGAGGATGAGAAAGCTTATGAAGATCTGAAGAGAAATATCCTTGGAGACGAGTCCTCTGATGATGAACAAGGCTCTGATGCATCCTCGGAAGACGAGGATGAAGAAGAATCTGAAGAAGATGATGAAGAAAGCATGAGAATAAAAGATGAAACAGAAACTAATCTTGTCAATTTACGAAGAACAATCTATCTCACAATAATGTCAAGTGTGGATTTTGAAGAGGCTGGTCATAAGCTATTAAAAATCAAACTTGAGCCTGGACAAGAGGTAAATAGTGCATTCTGTGGATCCATTGTTTACTAGCTTATGCTAATAGTTTCTAGTGGTAAATTCTATTTACGCACAGCTAAAGCGTCACTTCTATCTACTTTTTGGAACATTGGCATGTAGCGTTTAGTGGAGAGTTACAGGGATTGTGGTAAAAGATAACTAGATGAGGTTTTAGTCAACCTAAGCTTTGCGAGAAAGTAGCCTAGTGAAATGAAATAGTGAAACTGGATGAAAGCTGTGAACAGAGGGTTGAAAGGTTATTTGTGGGGAAGGTGCTTTCCTTATTGGTACTGGTGCATAACTTAATATTCTCATGCCTTGTCTTGTTTGTGGTATTTAAGGTGTTGATTTGCTATTATATCTTCTCTTTATTTACCGTATTTTTCTTTTGGTAGCAGTTGATTTATTTTTGTTCACTTTCAATTTGTCTGTTCTTTCTTAACCAATGGCACTATGAACTACTTCATAAATTCATAGCTCTTTGTACTTGTTCTCATTGTGGTTCCTATACTGTACCCCTATGTTTATTGTTTGATGCTTGCCAACTGTCACACAGGTCATACTTTGTTGGATTTACTTCTGTTATTTCATATGTTTGATAAAATTTGTTAGTTCTGTTGGCTCTATTCCTATAAACGCTGAGACATTATCAATTATATTCTGTTTACCCTGGAAAGGATTTAGGCATGATGCTGATAATTAACACTCTGATTTCTGATTATCCTGTGACTATTTAGTAGATGACTTAACTTCCCTTTGTTTTTGCCCTTTGTAGATGGAACTATGCATCATGCTGCTTGAGTGTTGCAGCCAAGAGAGAACTTACCTTCGGTATTATGGTCTTCTGGGCCAACGTTTCTGCATGATCAACAAAGTATACCAAGAGAACTTTGAGAAGTGTTTTGTACAGCAATACTCTATGATTCATCGCCTGGAAACAAACAAGCTGAGGAACGTGGCGAAGTTCTTTGCTCATTTACTAGGCACATATGCGCTACCCTGGCATGTTCTTGCCTACATACACTTGACTGAGGAAAACACAACTTCTTCTTCTAGAATTTTCATAAAGATCCTTTTTCAGGTATAAAGATGAATTCTGTGTGCAACCTTTTTTATAGTTTTATTCTTATAGATCTTCCATACTTAGTTCAAGGTCTGCTGAACTTAAACCAATCATTATCCTATTTCTAATGCAGGAACTTTCGGAACATCTTGGTATACGATTGCTTAATGAGCGTCTAAATGATCCTACAATGCAAGACTCACTTGAATCCATTTTTCCAAAGGACAACCCCAAGAATACCAGATTTGCCATCAACTTTTTCACGTCCATTGGGCTGGGTGGCATTACAGAGAGCTTGCGTGAATATTTAAAGAACATGCCCCGCCTCATAATGCAGCAACAAAAGCCAATCTCAGAATCTGATGATGATTCAGGAAGTTCTACTGCTTCTAGTTCAGGTGAATCCAGCTCCGACTCAGATTCTTCTTCAGGATCTGAGTCTGACTCGAGCTCTTCTGATGAAAGCAATAGAAGAGCGAGACATAGTAAGAGAAGGAAGAGGAATTGATCAATGCTTCGGAACTGGACTGTCTTGGTTCTTGTGAATTTTATATTTCACTGCTATCAGGGTGCACATTCTTTTATGTCTTAAGGTACTGCATCTTACTAACATTATTATATATAAAAATGCTTCTTTCTTGAGTTTTGTTTATTTTTTTTACTTTGTTTTTTACTGCACTAATATCTATTAATCTGTACAACAACAACAACAACATCTACTACAACAACAACAACTACTACTATTAATAGCTCCTCTGTTTTTTCAAAGAATATCACATCTCATCACTCTATCGATTATGTCGTCTAGTATATATTAAAGCTAGTTGTTAGCATCATCATTATCAATTTTCCCTCTGCATCAAAATTGTGTCAAAATCATGAGAACTCTATAAAAGGATACCAAGTTATTGTGATCAGCTAATGGATCTGATTTCAGTTCTCCAAGTAATACTGAACTTTTAGCCAATGGCCAACTGCAGCTGAGGATTGTGCCAAATAACATTGATAGTCATACAGTACTCGATAGATCATCTTTAATTAATTGGTCTTAAAACTTAAGATTGTACTTCCAAGAAGAATTTCCTAGACTAGTAAGGTTCTGGAGGTGAATTTTTTCCCTATGGAATTTACATTGATCTTTGAGGTGTAGATCAGGCTGAAGAGACATAGAATTACATCGTTAAGATTTTAGAACCTAGAATCAATTATAACTTGCTATTTTGTTTGGCCAGATGCACCAGAGGATTGTATTCAATATCAGCTGTCTCATCATTTGTAGAACGACTCTAAAGTTTGAATTAACATCTTTTAGGTTGTTTAGTCCTAAATTTATGTAACTTAAAGAGCTAAATTAACGTAGCTTTGAAGGTCCTTGCAACCAGCATCCATTAGTTGACCATTGCTGGGTATTAGGGTAGCTTGTATATTTGGAAAGTCAGAGAAGAGTGTTTGGTCTTGCATTGAAAGATTATAGTTGCAATTGTGTTTTCCTACGAATAAAATCCGTCTGTTCATCGCTGCAATAAAATTACTTTTTCTAATCATAGCATGGATCTCTAGGAAACTCCGCGCAGCCTCTGATGGCGTCCAACTCTCAGTCTGATCTCCAACCTCATAGTTGATTTTGGCCTCATAGGACCTCTCAGCTGACTTTGATCTCATAGCGCCTCAGCTGATTTGATCTCGCCATGCATCACCGTGACTCCGACCTCACAGTCGATTTCAACCTTAGGCATCTTCACTGTTGAAAATAGCGCCCGATAGCACCACAGATTGCGTTAGCGCCCATTACCCATAATGATATTGTCGGAAGTGGTGGAAGATAGCAATCTGTGCGCTATTTGCTCGTAATAGCAGCGTTAGCGTGTAATGGCATTTAATAACGCTTTTCATTAAGGATTCTAAGTTTAATATTCGATTCGAACCCAACCTGTACCTGACCCTTAATTAACTAAAACCCCCTCAACTTCATTTTTCTGTCTACCCTCTCCATTCGACCTCAAAAGATGAAGGAAGAAAAACTCTAATCCCATGATTCTCACCAACTCCGCCTCCTCTTCCCCTCCCCCTCCACCAACTTCGTCACCGGCGACCCTCTTCCTCCTCTCCCCCTCCAACAACATCTCAGCCACTACCTCTTCCTCTCCGACTATGACACCTCAAACCTCAAAACTCCTCTCTGACTGCCCTCCACGTCAACCCCTACACCTCAACCGCAAAACACCCCTCAACTCGAAACCACCCCTCTCTGACTACATCTTCTGCTTCTCCGCCGCCTCCGCCAACTTGGAGCTCACCGAGTTCTCTTTCTCCTCGGAATATCTATGATTCATCAAATATGCATTTGTAGATTTTTTAGATTTTTATTTAAGTTTTCTATTTTTTGAATATATATACATATTTAAGATGAACCGCTATTTGACTTTGCGCTTTTTGCCACTATAGCCCCAAGTAGCCTTAGTGGCGTCTCACTGTTACGCCCTACTATCTACTATCAGTAACCTTGGGCATCTTGTCATCCTTGGCCTTGCCTCGCCATGACTCATACTCAGCTTCAACCTTACTATTGACTTTGATCTTCAGCATCAAATGATCATGGACATCACCTTTTGGCCGTCGTTTCCGCCCGTAAGTCTTCTTCGTCCTGTTGCCCCTAAAAAAAAAAATCCAAAGATGGTTCTTAAGAAGAGATATGGTTGCCTTCACCCTTCAGAGGGCTCTTTTACAATCAGGTGGCACATGGAAAGAGAGATTACTAATAGTTAATTACTTAAGGGACAAAGCGGCTTCAGCAAAATGTTGAAGAAGAGGATGTGAAAAACTGATTATTGATTGTGAGAACAATGTCTTTGCAAACGCTATTAGCAACCATGTTAGTTCAGATACATGCTTGTATACACCATTGTCTATTCTATGCTATTGCCAAATTATACATTTGACGAAGCAACTGAACTAAGCTAAGGATGTAGTTTTCACCGAATAAATTTCAGGGTTTTTAGAATAAGTCTCTAATAAAAGTCATAATTTGATGATACTACTCTGTGAACTATATTTGGATGTATCCATGATATGATGACGCCACTTATTAGGTGTTCCCAGCATTATATTTCCGACCCAATCCTTCGAGCTAAGAGTAAATCGCTGCTTTATCATGCTCTAATCTCCGAAATCTTAGCAAATCGCTGCTTTATCATGCTCTAATCTCCGAAATCTTAGCACATAACTGTATTTTGCTTCTTGTAACTCTAGTTTAGGCTCTGGAAGCTAAGATAATGAGATGCGTGGGGGTGGGGGGGTATTGATTGGGAGAAGTTGGGGCTAAGTGGGACAATTGTTGCAATGGAACAATTTTATCTCTTTGGAATATTTTGAGTGGTGTAAAGTGGGACAATTTAAAGCTTTGATTTGACAATTCATGTAGGATAATTGATGATGTTGCACTTTATTAAAGTACAATATTTATCTATCAATTAAGTCTAAATTAATTTACCTAATTGGTTTAGTATATTATCTGGTATGTTATTATATATAATACATTATTTTACTTTATACTAAAATATAATATAATATATTATAATTACTAATTAATTACAACTATATTTAATGTTATTAATTAATATAATATAATATATTATAATAATATGATATATTATATAATAATTGATATAATATACAAACAATATATTTAATATAATATTTAATCAAATATTATAATATTATGATAGTTACTATAATTTAAATTGAATAAATGATGACATGACTCCTTATTAAAATATAATATTTATAATAATCGTAATATACTATTAATATGTTCAATATTAATATTTAAAAAATATTATTTAATAATATATTACATTGTATTAATTTTATATATCATCATACTTTAATATGTAGTAGATTATTATAATTTTTATTGTAGTAATAAAATATTATTTATTATTATAAAAAGTAATATTATAATAATATAATACTAATATTATAATATATGAAATATTATTAACCAATATGTAATAAATAGGACAAATTTTCAAAACAGACTTCTTTGCCAAAAAAATCCCAAAAACCGACCTATTTTAAACTTAATTTTAAAAACCGATCCAGTTGGGCTGAAACTGGGAAGTTTTTTTACGTGACAAAACTTCATGGGACTTCAACTCCCGTGAAGTTTGGGAACTTTTTTTTCAAAAAATCGACCCAGTTTCAGCCAACTGGGTCGGTTTTTGAAATTAAGTTTGGAACAGGTCTTTTTTTGAGATTTAAGATTCAAAACAGGTTGGTTTTGTAAATTTGTCCATATGTAATAATGATATATAATAATGTTATATTAGATAATATTATATAATATTTTGTTATCTTACGTTATAATAGAATTTTATAATATAATATAATTAAGATATATTATATATTATAATACAATTAACATATATTAGATATGTAATAAATTAGTGCTTCAAAATTATCCCACTTTTCTCATGATTGTCCCAAAGTTAAGAATGGGGTAAATTTTGGAGGTTGAGACAAAAAGTTTGTTTAGAAGTGGGATAATTTTGGGAAAAGTGGGGATAATTGTCCCAATCTCATTGGCCCAATGAACAACACCATAAAATAAAGTCCCAATCCCATTGTCCCGATGAATAACACCATAAAATAAAATCCCAAAAATTAAGTGAAATCTCAATCCCATTGTCCCGATGAATAACACCATAAAGTAAAGTCCCAAAAATTATCCCACTTACCCCAAAATTAGACCAACTAACAAACCCCCCTTAGTGTTTATTGGTGCTTGCATGTATTTTCACAATTATCGCTGTGCAACTGGGAGGATCTTCAAATTTTCATAAGAATAGCAATTGGATATCTTTTCTTTCATTGTACTGGTTTCCATTACTTTTTATTGCAAGAAACAACATCGGAGGCAAGTGACCTTAATCATTTGGTACTGTAAAATTTCTCTCCTTTCGCTGTTCTTGCAGTGAGCTTGCACAATTAAATTCTGAATAAAAGCATTCAATTGAACATGCTTTACGTGAGTGTGATGTTGACCATCGGTAGATTTTCTTACTTCAGTGAAACGTGTGATATTTATTGAAATGATAGTGGTTTACCTATCGATTTTGGTTCAGTTTAATCTTTCATTCGACAACATTTGAACTGATCATCCGCCTTGGTTGTGGGATTTGTGCAGATATTTCTCAGCATATTTGTGAAGCTTGCAGTGCAGAAATTCAGACAGTATGGCTTAAGTTTTTATCTTTTCTGAAGTATGGCGAGTTTTCGATATCTTTTTGAGTTAAAGATTTGGTGTTGTAAGGGAGGGTATGCATCAGCAAAGAGCTGCTGTGCTCCCTCCCGAAGCGTTTGCTGCTTTCCTTCATCCATCTCTTGCATCTACATAGAGGCGAACACGATATCAGAGAGAAGAAGTTGATGATCCGTGATGTAAAGTATAATAGAATTATCTAGCGGAGAGACCAAGTGGGGTTCTGTTTCCTGTTGATTTCTTTGTCCACCTATGTATAAGAATTATTATGAATTCCAGGGAGGTGGTTTAAGCTTGCGTGAATTATACATGATGGGATTCGTTGCAGCCTCTTCCTTGGACCTCGAGCAGCATTCTTCACTTTGTACAATGATGAAAGATGATAACTATGTTTTTTATGCTTGGTATGTGAAACATACAGGTTATTATTGTTCCGGATTCAAGCGTGTGTCTATACCTTTTCTGCTGTTTCAGCTTTAATTTGAGAACCGGCAGGGCCTTTGTTCGATTAATATTAATTTTTAAGGATTTTTTCCCCCTAGAAACCACCTTTGAAATAGGGTAATTATACAGAAATTATTCATCAATATCGATTTATATATAAACCACTTTTAATGTGGCAGTTTCCACATCCAAGCCGAAAACTTAACTGAGCTTAACAAATTCACTTTCAAGGTACTAACTTATTTTTGGTTATGTTTTGGTCCAGTTATATACCTAGAACCTGATTTGTTAAGGTTAGTTTTTGTTTTTCAGTGAAAAGTTTGCTTGAAGGTGATTAATTAGAACACAAACTCACTTTAATGGTGGCGTATGTATAAGTTTATATTGACAGGTAATTTCTGTATAATTACTCCATCTTAAAGATGTTTCCAGGGGCAAAAAAAAAATCTATTTTTAACTGAGATCCTCTATTCTCCCTCAATTTTCAATCTTGTCATGTAAACTCTGCTTGACGAGAAGTGCTTGAGAGTTGTAGGAGAAATTAATCAAATATCGTTAACTTATACATAAACTCATTTATTTTGATAGATCATATAGATGTTAATGAAGAATGACTACTTAGACATGATCATCTATTTTATTTATGCTTTTTGAAGCTTAAGCAGAATAAAGTACCTGCTATAGCAGATTACTCTTACCACGTATCAACCCTTATGTAAACCCATGCTACAATTAGGGTTGGGCATGGGCCGGGTCGACCCGCGGGCTGACCCGGCACAGCCGCCATAGTTTACGACCTGGCCCGACCCGACCCATGATATACCCGGGTCACGGGTTGGGTTGGATCTAGCCCTAGACCCGAGATCAGAGAAACAGACCTAGCACATACCTGACCCAGCCCACACACGACCCACCTTGGCCCGACCCGCCCTGGCTCATGATATATTTTTTGGTTGGACTAGTTATTCTTTTAGTCCTTTGGGTTTGCAACTACCTGTTCCTTTAGCCCTTTGGGTCTAAACTAGCTCCCAGCAAAGCCAAAAGTCATAGGTATTTGGCTCATGGGCCTTTTGATCCACTGAGAAATAAAGCAGTGATATTTAAAAGTTTAATACTAGTTTAAAAGTAGTTTAATACAAGTTTAAATTACTAAAAAATAAATCAGAAATAATTTTATAGTTGTAAATACAATTTTAATATAATTAAAAAGGTAAAAAAGTAGGAAAAATTTTGGATGAAAAACCCATGGGTCGACCCATAACCCACGGGCCGCGGGCCGGATCAGACGCGGAATTAGAGAAATAAACCCGGCCCATTTTGACCTGACAGGATCCGGGTCGGACCTGACCCGACCTTGAACCTGACGGATTCGGTCACGTATCTGAACCGGCCCGGCCCACTCCCATCCCTAGCTACAATTATATAGTTAAAGAGTTCATAATCAAACTCAAAAAATGTAAGAAAAAAGATAACACATGGCGCTAAAAGATGAAGATAAGGAATTTGTGAAAGCTATAATTACAGAGACACTCCATTGCTTTATCTCGAAAAAGAATCATTGATGTAGGACTCCAAATTGTGCTCTCAGTCCATCCTTTGCTTGGTGTCACTCATTATTAGGGGGAGAAAATGAGACTCTGTCAACCAACACCTGATGAGTCTTGTCAATCGCAGTCAACTTCTTCATGAAGGTACCCCTCTCCAAGTTCTCCGATCAAAAGCCTTAACACGTTTTAGCTTAATAAATATCTACCATCATAAGTCAAACTTTTTGATCTGTGGTTTCAGATCCTCTTCACTATCAAAATAGTGGCAGTGTGGTCACTATATAATCACAACTACTGATTATATAATTTGTAACTGTGATTTTTTCTTTGGCTACAAATTAGAAACTAGTACAATACAAGGGGCTATGATGAGTATTAGATTTAGACTGTATCAAAACTGTATGCTTGATAATTAACGATTTAAATTAAAAGTAGTAGTTTTTTCATTATTTTTTTTATAGTGAAGAGAATTGAAATTCTTAATCTGTACATCTCTTCCCGCTCAATAAATCATCGGTCATGCAGAGTTTTGTAAGAGAGGTTTGAGCCCCGTGTTATAAGAGAGAGAGAGAATGACCCTTTTAGGAGTCATCAGTTTTGATGAAAGTTTAAAAGAAAGGACCCAAACTGTTTTCCATTGAGTTGCTAAGAATGCAGGTTAGACAAGGACATAAATGGAGTAGGTTATCTCCACGAGTACGTATCTTATCGCGATGTTTTTGAATTATAAAAGAGTCACATAAAAATCTCAAAACTATTTCTCCAATCTTTCATGCTCGTGTACAGAAATTCGAGCAGAATTATATGTGTTTCTCAGGGTGCATGCGCTTAGAATTTGGTCGGGTATATAGAAATAGCATACATATACTTTCAGCCACATCACAATTTCAACATACATGTTTAATTGAAACATTGAATGTTGATTAAAAAAAATAGCCTATAAATATGTGAGTTGCATCGAAACGGGAATTTTATAAACTACATAATATTGCAAATGCATATATTGCTCACGTCCTAACTAAACATATTCTGTTTAAACTCCCATGTACTCACGTTATCGATCCAAACCTTTTGAAGGCATATTATTTCTAATTAAAACAGATCACTTCTGATGCTATTCAACTGTTCAAAAGTACATTAGAAGAGATTATAAAAATCAGGGTTAATTTTAGAAAAACCCCCTAACTTTCTAGATCATCCCCCTCAACTTTTAAAATATGGAGTGTATCACAAAACCCCTTTTATCTTTCTAGTTTTTTTAAATAACCCCCTAAAATTATTAATTTAAAATATGCAATGACTAAAATACCCCTTTGAGAAAAATTCATATGACTTTAAAAACCCCAACTCAATCAAAATAGTAGACTTATGTTCGATGGGCTTTGATGAGGAAATTAATCTTCAAAAGAAATTTAAAAGTTTCAATTATTTTAAACATTACAAGCATGGATAAATAGAAAATAAAAGAAATTTAGCATTTCAAAACAGAAAGAAAAAAAATAGATATGCACGTAAACCTAACAATGAAGATGGAGGAATAAGAAGAGGGGGAAATAAAATGAAAGTTATTTTTAACCAAAAAAAAGTTTAAAATAAACAATATGGTAAAAAAAAATTAACGTCTTAGGAAAAATATGGTCCTTTTAAAGTATTTGTTCCTTTATATTTAAATTATATTAGTTCAGGGGATTAAGTAAGAAAAGTTGAGGGGGATAAATAATATATTGAAAGCTGAGGGGGTTATCTATAACAACTTCATAATTGAGGGGTTTTTTTTTCCAGAGTTAGACGTTTGGATAATAGAAGTATTGGGAGTAAGAAGTAGGTTATAGAAGTAACTTTCAAAACTATAAAGTAGGAAGTAGTGAAAATAACATTTTTTTGTTTGTTTTATATATTTTTAGAAGTAATGGAAGTAGAACTTCTTCCTCTTCATTTACTTTTTTTGTTTGGATAACATTTAGAAATATTATTAGGAAGTAATTTTATCAATGAAAAGTTGTTAGAAGTAACTAATAAAGGAAATATTAATAAAAAATTATTTATTTCCTAATTAATATGCATTTCAACTACTTCCGAGCTACTTATGAGTATTGAGGATTGGAAAAATATTTTGGAAGTAAGGATGACACGTAGGCGCCACATAAGCGTTTAAGGAAGTATTTGAAGTAAGTTTTTCAAAGAACCAAACACATTTTTTTGCTTGAAAGTAGCAGAAGTAACCTCTACTTCTTTTACTTCAGCTACTTCATAATTACTTCGGTGCAAACAAACATGCCCTAGCTAAGAGAGGTTTTGCGAGACGACCCATAGTTAAGGGGTTTTCCAAAAATTAACCCAAAAAATTAATCCCGGCATATGGTGCGCGTGTAAAGAGAACGAAGAACGATCACTTTCGGTTGAGCGAAAAAGAACCGAACGTGAGAAACCGCCTCTCACTCCCCTGCTAAATCCTCTCTCTAAACTCCCTCTCTGATCTCATCAATGCAATGGAGGAGACTCTAAACTCCCTCTCAACAGACTACCTTAACCTCCTCGTTGACGGCCAGGCATTCTCCGACGTCACGCTGTCAGCGTCGATGCGCCGCCCTCATCCACCAGCCCACCGTCTGCGTCCTCGCAGCGCAGCCTCTTCTTCCACAAATTCTTCTGCAGTCTGCAACGTGCCACATTGCCTACACAGTACCCTACTACTAATGCTTCAGTCGTTGGTGTCGTCCCCGTGAATTCTGTGAGCTATGACGTATTCTTGCTAGTCCTGCAGTTTCTGTACAGCGGGCGGATCTCTTTCGCGCCCTTGAATCACGAGCAGTCAGCCGTCGACCTGGTCCTTGACGTGCTTAATGCCGCGAGGTCCTTCGACGTCGAGCAACTCGTTATGCTCGCACAGGTAAGTAACGCCTGTTTGGCGATCTCACTTCCCGCTCCGGTCCATTTTGACGAGTATCCAACTCCGATGAATATCCCTTTGAAACTGGTTTTTCTATTTTGATCCATCGATTCGCCCCCCCCCCCCCCCCCCCCCACGCGCGGATCAAAACAGAATGCCAGTACTTCAACTCGAAAACGGGGTCAGGATCGGTCCTGACCCGAGTTTTGGGGAGTTCGCCGACTGGAGTCTTGAGACTGGGTTTTGTTAGTTGAGTACTGTGTTGCAATTCTAAGCAATATTCAGTACTTGAGTGAGTACTGTTTGATGTGCTGGTCACCCTAGGTCCCTAGCTAGCTACCGTCAGCTCTTCTCTAATTTGAGCTCACCTTTCGAATCATATGCAGACATTTTTTTTTTGCTTGATTGTACAGTTTGTACTATCTTCTTGTTGTTACGATAAAGTTGATAAGCGTCCTAGACAAAGTACGGAAAACAGCCTCCAACATGATAAATTGTCAATTGTACTAGCTATACCCTTTTTTTTTTGTTAGGACAAAATTGTCAATTGCCAAAGTAAAGCCATCCCAATTCCTAGGTTAAAAACCTTATTAAGTAAAAAGTGCTAGGGAACAACTATTCCTAAGTCCAGATTCCCACGGTCCGGAGATCAAACTATAAGTTTACAAGATGGAAAAAAACACAGCCGAGAAGAAAGAATATCAAGATTTATGTAGACCTATATCCACCGGGCAACAGTACGTGATTCTGCACAATGTATGAGGGAGAAAAATACAAGACGAAATACACATCTCTCTCAATCCCTCAACCTCGCAACATACATATGTAGCCACTCATATTCTATTCAAAACCCCTAAATCTCATCTCGAGCCCTCTCAAATGAGAGATTTATGTAGTGTCAAACCCTAGGACTAACTAGGTCCAAAGGCTATCCGGGCTCAAAGCCCAATGGATATTTAAAAAGAGACAAATGAGTCAATAATAAAGAGCTCGCTCTTCCTAATATCTTCTTCAGTATAGTTCTTCGAGTTAAAAACATTATAGTTTTTATTTTTTTTAAATGAGGCAGCATAAATGTGAGACTACAACACTAGCATTACAATATTTGGCTGGATCCAATGCTAGTGTCGAGCCAGGTAATTGTTGGGGTTTCGAGGACTAACACAAATGCTGAGAGAGAAGGCCAAACACAATCAAAATAACGGCACGAACACAAACAAACGAATTTTACGTGGTTCGACAAGTTGCCTACATCCACAGGGCAAGAAGGGGATGCGTTTTCACTAATAGAGAATGAGAGTACAAATAGAGATTACAAATTCACTCAAAATCTCTCAAACAAACCTCTCAAAACTCTCAAACAAAACCCTAACCAAATTGCTCAGAAAACTCTCTTTTCTGTGCACAAAACAAACCCCTTTTCAACTCTTTTTTTCTCTTATCTAAACCGTTATATATATAGAAATCCTAAAACAAAAAACATACTAGGAATTCTAATACAAAAAACAAAACAGATTAGGAATCCTAATAACCTGTTACCAAAACAGATTTAGAATCCTGTTATCAAAACAGATTAGGAATCCCAATAACATGTTACCAAAACAAATTAGGAAACATATTAGGAACCTTCTGTCCAACCGTAATGACTTTCAACATTAATTGTATTAATATTGTATTGTCAAATGGGACTAGTCTAATTCAAAATCAGTCCAAATAAGCATATATGTAGATGTTAGAATGCGTATAGTCTCACACAAAGGATCATAGAGATGTTACGTATGTATAGGTTAATTTATTGAGATTTTGAATATGTCGTTCCAAATTAATTAAGCCTAGCATTTAGGGATGAGTTATCCAAAATCAAACTGTACAGTCTCAAGTTCTTCTTCTTCTTCTTCTCCTTCATGCAGAAGGAGCTAGAGAGCATCGTGGAAAATGCCTCCATTGAAGATGTGACGAAGGTCCTCCTCGCCTCAAGAAATCAAGAGCTGCACCATCTGTGGACAACCTGCTTGCACCTTGTGGCCGACTCCGACCTTTCCCCAGAGATCCTCACTAAAACCCTCCCCATTGACGTCGTCGCCAACATCGAAGACCTCCGAATCAAATCCTCCCTTGCCCACCATTCCTCCCCCTTCCATCAAACCAGCCACTATCAAATCCACCGCATGCGTTGTGCCCTTGATTCCTCAGACGTAGAGCTTGTCAAGCGGATGGTAATACTAGCTAATTATCAGTCTCTTCCATGATAACGAAGCTTCAAAGTTATAATAATAATGGTTTAAAGGAATTATGCTTTTAACATGTTTTCGCGGGTTGACATTAAACTTTTGTACCACTTTATGTCTGATATTTTTTCTATAGGTTCTGTTTTAGATGCATAAGTCCTCAAGAATTTGAACCTGGGCTATTCTGATATTATCTTAAATCTTTTGTACTATATTAAAACTTTGAACTTATGATGAGTATAAAGGGCCATACTTCTATACTTTATGTCATACACTTGCAGATTGAGTGTAGATTTCGTGGTCAGAAACCTAGCTATCTTATTTTTAAAAAGAAATTACATGTTAGCTGGTAGAATTTAAAACAGATATGATACTGTCGTAAAGTCTATTGCACAACATCAAAATATCAAGTTGTGATAATAATTAATTATAATTCAACAGTCCAACCTAATTCAAGTTGGACCTTTTTTCTGTAACTATATTCGTTAGGATACATATATAGTTACTCAAATCTATAATTGAGTGGATATTGTTACGAATATGGTTTTATAGTGAAATATCAGGATCCGTATCCAAAATATCCTGATACATATTAGTCATGCTGTTACGATAGTTTCAATCCTTAGATTATGAATCTGAGATTAATTTTGATGATCAAGATGTCTAATCTTAGCTTTTCAGATATAATGAATATATTAATGAACTATTTTCTATCATATGAACTATACTTTTTCAATAGTATCTAGTCCTCTCGTATCCGTTTTGTATCCGCGTGCATATCCGCTTATGTATCCACATACATATTTGTATCAGATTTTAGCGGATATAGATATGAATTTTTTTACCAAGGTATATTTGTATCTGTATCCGCATCCAAGACGGGTAAGCGGATATGGATATCGTAAGTATCATATTGGAGCTATATCCAGACCGAATGCACCCCAAGCTGAAACCCATGCATGTCAGTTTGCATAACTTTATGTCTTAAAATTTGTTTCAAATGCATGTATGGTGACATTTAAATCAAAATTATTTGATACTATGCTAATTGCATTATATCAAAACTTTAAAGTTATGAAAATAATGGAAGGGTCATATTTTTTACGTTTGACAGGTAATGACCGAAGGTCTCAACCTGGACGATGCCCTCGCACTGCACTATGCTGTTCAGCATTGCAGCAGGGACGTCGTAAAGGCGCTGCTGGAGCTCGGCATGGTCGATGTCAACTGTGCCAACGGTCTAAGCGGGAAAACCCCGCTGCACGTGGCGGCAGGGATGGTGAGCCCGGACATGGTGTCCGTGCTTCTCGACCACCATGCGGATCCAACTGTCAAGACCCTCAACGGCATGACTCCAGTTGACATCCTTCGGTCGATGAATGCAGATTTTTTGTTTGAGGGTGCAGTGCCACGGATGAGGCACGTTGAGCGTAATAAGGTGAGGTTTTGTCTTGAGCTCGTGCAGTCGGCGGCAATGGTAATGTCAAGAGAGGCATCAGCCGCAGCCGCGCCGCCGATGGCAAGGAGGGGAGATGATGAGAGTAGGGTTGTGAGCTTGAGCTTGGATTCAAGAATGGTACAGCTGAACTTGGGGATGGAGTCCCAATGCAGTGACACGTTCACTCATCATCATTTACCCTAGTTGAGGCATTGCAACTTATACAAATTGCAACTGTTTTTCTTCTTCTTACTTTGGACATTGATTAGCATTGTTTAACTTGGCTGTTTAAATTGGATTTTTCTGATTTTATTCTCTTTGATTATGTTTAATTTGAAACATAAGAATCTTTCAATTTCAAATCATATGATTTGCGTATACAAATCTCTTTTATCATTATTGTCGTTACTTGAACCAGTCATTCGTATCATTTTCTATGGAAAGTAAAAAAAAAGCATCTCCTTCTAAAGGTTCAACGCTATCTACAGAAAGCCGAGATACGATAAAGATTTTCTTTGGTTTGGATATGTTACACTAGTTGTAATAGAGTAGGGATGGCAAAATGGACCCAAAACCAATTGCCCACCCATATCCACCCGCCAAATGAACCATACAAACCCACCCATTTAGTTAAATTGGTCATAAATGGGTGGGTATATTTTCTATTAAAGATAAATGGGTCATTAATGGGCGGGTTATTACCCACCCATTTACCCGTTTAGATGGATATTGTTTTAAAAACACCATCAAAGCTTCAACAATTACAAAACTTATTTTTAAAAGTTAAAAATTATAGAAAATACTTAAAATGACTAATAATCTCTTAAAATTTTGAGATTTGCAAAAAACACCCTTAAAGTTTAAAATATTTAAAAAATGCCCTCAAGAGTTAAAAATTATAAAAAAACTATCAAAATTTTCTAACCTCACAGATGACACATGAAATTCAAAAATTACCAACAGCCCCCTAAAATTTTATAATTTGCAAAAATACCCTTAAAGTTGTAGAAAATGAGAAAAACACCCTCAAGACTTCAAACTTACCAAACAATCTTAGAATTTTCTAAACTTGCAAATGACATATGAAATCTAAAAAATTTCAATAGCCCCCTATAAATTTAAAATTTGCAATTAGCACCCTCAAAGTTTTAAATTTTTAGAAAAACACCCTCCATAGTTTAGAATTACAAAACCATCCTGAAATTTCAAAACCTACAAATGACACATGAAATCCAAAAATTACTAGCAGCCCCCTGTAAATTTATAATTTACAAAAAGCACCCTCAAAGTATAAAAATTACAAAAAGCACCCTCAAGAGTTCAAAACTACAAAACAATCTTAGAATTTTCTAAACTTGCAAATGACACATGAAATCTAAAAAAAATCGGTAGTCCCCTATAAATATCAAATTTACAAGTAACACCCTCAAACTTTTAAAAATTGCAAAAAACACCCTCGATATATAAATATAAAAATTAGGCGTTTACAATTCTTCGAAGAAGGAGCAAACAAGTGGCTACACATGTTTTCGTATCTAATCATTTATGTTGTTATTGATGATGCGATTAATATTGATTTTGAAATTAATGCATACAATACGTAAATCAATATAGACGTCAGAAGTTAATTCAAGCAGAACTTTTAGTGCCAAAATTTACTACAGGAGATCGTTTATTATGGAACAGTTAAAATATGAACGAAAACAGTAACCTTTAGAATTTGTCAATTCATTTAGTACATAGTAAGAAACAATTCTTTTTGTACATAGTAATAAAATTTACGATTTTGTAAGCTCATTAACTTTTTAGATTGATAGCGGAACAACCAGGGTGTTTTCTCATTACATTATTTTATAAAGAGGGCCCTCTATATATGATTTACACGTGTAAACCTCTTCCATTCGTGATTCTCCGCCAAAATCTTCGATCATAAATTTTTTCCCTTAAAAAGTTAAAAAAAATGGACACCTTGAAAGTTTGTAAAAAACCCTCTAAAAGTTTGCAAAAAAACCCCTGAGAGTTTTCAGAAAACCTCCTAAAAGTTTACAGAAAACCCCCTAAAAGTTTGCAAAAACCCCCCTGAAAGTTTACAGAAAACCCCCTAAAAGTTTACAGAAAAACCCCTAAAAGTTTACAGAAACCCCCTGAAAGTTTGCAGAAAACCCCCTGAAAGTTTGCAGAAAACCCCCCTGAAAGTTTGCCAAAACCCCTTAAAAGTTTGCAAGTAGATCCCTGAAACTTACATATATATAGAAGCATCATAATCATAACTAAATGGGTTATTGGGTTACCCATGAACCACCCATTTAGTAAATGGGTGGATGAGAACCAACCCATTTAGTAAGTGCTAAATGGGTCATAAATGGTTAAGTGGTCATAAATGTGTCCACCCATTTATGACCCAACCAAAACCCAACCAAAACCATCCATTTGCCATCCCTATAGAGTTTGAAGGGAGGGATAGGTTAGCTCCTGAAATTGTATTTATATACACTTCTTAGTAAGCAAGGAGAGGGGTAGGGATGTCCAAACGGGCTCGCAACTACGCATTCAGGCAGGGCAAAAGGCTTTGCTCGGATCCTGGGCCCCGATGTATCGGGCTAGGTCAGTCCAGGTCCGGGCGGTTGCGAACCGGGTAGGCCCTGCCCGGTTATTTTTGTTTTTATTTTTTGGTAAGAATTTATGATCTTTTCACAAAAAATAAAAAATTCAAAATTTTGATTAAAAACATGTAACTTTAGAAGTATTTAAAAAAGATGTGAAATTTTTGCAAAGAAATTCAATCTTATTATTAATCACTTAGAATTTTACAATTTACAATTTTCAGAGAAAGTAAACAAATCAAAAACAAATTCTATATCATTTATTAATTAGTACCAATTATAATTTTTTTTTGAATTTGCATCATAATAGATGAATATATCCCAACTATGTGAGCACCTCGTCATGATCTATATCAATATCTATTGCAACTCTTTTCAAAATCAATTTATTATTGATTTACAATTCCAAAACTAAAATTTACAAATAACTTTCTATTCTTATTTGGCAGCATCTGCTATCATCATATATTGAAGTCTGCCTTCAATATTATAAAATAGTTGATGTTTTGACATCTCTTTTTGGAAATCAGCCAATATTATAAGCACATTATCGCATGTACGGGAAATAGATAGGGTGATGCATTCTGATCATCAATCAAACATAAGATGCATTTTGAAGCTAGGGTAGAGATCTGAACTATTAGTAAATCATGAGCCATGGTGGAAAACACATGATATGAAGTCGTTCCATATGCTTAATTTTCACTATAATAAAATATCAAACTCCTAATTATTCTGACATTGAACTAAAGGTGTAGCTAAATATTTTTCAAGTTTATAAATGTCACTTGCATATGACAATCTACCACTATTACCACCACTACCTCTATTAGTTAGTCTATCTACTAACATCCATCTGTCAAATAAACACGATCCCTTACTCGATCTAAATCTTGTTGTCGTAGCAGGTGTAGCTTGAGATCTTCCGCCATGTCTAGCTAAATACTCTTCATGTAGTTTTTAAAAATAATATCTGATTGTGTTATGATGAGTAAGAGTAGTAACAGTCTTTGCTGTATGAATTTCTATTACCATGTTTTCATATAAAGAATTCAATAAATGTTGGAGAACAACGTCCTTCAAGCTATATCAACAAGAACGTCCAAACCAAAAATAATAGGAATGTGTCTGAAATATTTATCAGTCTTTCCATTTGTTTACTCATATCTGAAAAATAATCGTGCATGTGTTAATTATTAAAAAAAGTTCTGAAGATTGAAAACTTGTAACGTAGCTTGCACTGCTTGATTTTCAACTTTTAGCGACGGACAAATCCGTCGCTATAAGTCGTTTTTCCGTCGCTAAAACTTTTAGCGACGAAAAAATTAAAATTCCGTCGCTAAAGTTTCGACGCTATAAAAGGGGTGCCTAAAAAGACTTTTGGCGACGGAAATTCCGTCGCTAAATTTTAGCGACGGTTTATTAGCGACTGCTTATTGGTCGCTATTTTTAAAAAATAAAAAATTAAAAAAAACAATAGCGACGGATATTCCGTCGCTAATATTTCTTTAGCGACGGTTTTTCCGTCGCTAAAGAAATATTAGTGACGGAAAATCCGTCGCTATTGTTTTATGAAATTGTACTGATGTGATTTCGTGCATGTTTTCCGTCGCTAAATAGTACTTTAGTGACGGAATTTCCGTTGCTAAAATTGTTTTTAGCAATTGATTTTCCGTCGCTAAAAATTAAAAAAAAAATTTGGAAAATTTTTTGAAAATTGAAAATACCCTGTATAATATCGATAATAATTTTTAAAAACCTGTTCAATCAGCAGAAGAAAGCTTCAATCTTACGCAAATATCACATCTCACACATATATCACACTGTAGGCTGTCTAAAAATCACAATAGATAGTTGGTCCCCCATCAAACACCGATGATGGAAGTTACAATCTGACGACTTCCAGAAGGCTACAATTTGAGGACTTTCACGTAGAAGGCTACAATCTGACGACCTTCACGACAACTGATGAAAGCTCTAATTCGACAGCATTCATAATCAACATCGGGAGTTACAATCTGACGACTCTCATATTTACAAGAAGCCAAGACGAAGATCACAAGAGGACGATCTGTGCAAAGTTCTAGCAAAAGAGACTACAAATTGACGGTCTCTTCATATTAGAATGCAAATATCTCTCAAACCGTGAGGAATTTGGCGAAACGGAGGAAGCGAACCGAAGCCTTTGGCTAGGTTCGGATGGCCCCGTCTCGTCGAGATAGCCGATTTTCATATGTAATTCGTCCAATTCCGACGTACGGTTTGAAAGTTATGACCTGTTCTTCGTAGCAAGTTATGTTCTGAAGTCCGTCTGCAAGACTGGACTTCGTCAGAACATCGGACTTAGCCTGAAGCTCGCCGAGCCCACCTAAGGCTCACCTCTGCATCCAAGATTCAAAACGCAGAGGTCGAAAACGCAGAGTTAATCTCTAAAACAGTACGAACTGTGCGTTTTCAGCCTAAAACAGGCTTAACTCTGCGTTTTCAATATCAAAACGCAGAGTTAATCTCTTAAACAGGCCCAACTGTGCGTTCAGCCACCAAAATAGGCCCAACTCTGCGTTTTTAGTCTAAAAATGCAGAGTTCGGGCCCTGAACGCTATTTTTCAGCGTTTGACTCGTTCAAAGCACGCAATAAACAGTTCCAGGAACTGTTTTTCCCCCACGATTGGAGGG